GAGCAAAAGTCACCAGGCAATCAAACGTGTGACATATCCCATAAGGATGGGTTCTAGTGTTTAAGATAAAGGATTCAGGAAAGAGTCCCAGATAAATAAACCTAAGACTCTGAGAAAGTGAGGCACGGCCTGGCCCTACAGACAGCATAAGTCACTAGGTTAGCAATCACATCCACTCCCAGACTTCTGGATAGAAGACAGGCTATACATTCCTTTCTTTAAAGAGACAGCCCTATGTTTAACATTTCTGGGTGCCCTGGTGCTTATCTGTGAGCACCAGGGCCTTCCTTCCCTTCTCTACAGTTATCTTTTTGTAAGCTACTGGTTGAAGACTCTCCTTCAGTACCATGACTTCAGTAGCACTAATTACCTAAGTTTACAATACCAGACATTGTATTTCTTCGGTTGGGTAGGTCTTAATTCCAACAGATTCCCTGCTAGTTACCACCAAGGCATGCCACTCTACACCTCTGGAGTTATCACGCCATTGATGAAATGCTTGGGTGTCATAGCTGGGTAGGATTGTTGGCCGCCTCCTTCTTTTGGGAACTTGCATGGTGCCTTCTGGTACCATGAAAGTTAGTCCTTAGGGAGTTCCAGCCAGTTGCAGCCAGCCTAACCCCTAACAACAACCTACAAACAATTGTCATCATACCTATGATAAGTCTTCATCCGAAGCAAGGAAATTTCCCTCTGCTGCTATTATAGAAAACCACAACCAGTTAAAACGCATGGTTGTGTAGCCGGGTCCCAATGGATACGTCTATAAAATACTCATAAACCTAAGGATCAGGGAACAGTGCAGAAGGGGTGGAAAGATTGTAAGCGTGAAGCATCAGGAGGCTTTTGGTGTGATTGTGTGCCCTAGTAATATCAGAAGCAAAAGCCATCAAATCTCACCAACGTGATTGCCCAAACACGAGCTAAATGAGGATGACATTACTAAACATGCCAAAACGGATGGTGAAAGCCCACAAGGCAGCACCCCACACAGAGAACTGTAGGTAACTAAGGAAAGCTAGGGACAGAAAAGCTGGCCTTCCTCCGGGAAGATCACACCAACTGCTTGTCTGGTGCCAAATAGTCAGCTGTGCAAGCATACATAAAGGTGTCATTACACACTCAACAGATTACATTCAGTAACAGATATGTAGAGACATATATGAGTGTGATGACAATTAGTGAAGAAAGAATGGACTTAAAGGAGAGCAGGGAAGGGTTATAGGACTGTCTGGAAAGAGGAAAAGGAAGGAAGAAATGTTATAATTGAATCATAACCTCGAAAACGAAATAGGAAAAAAATGCTATCTTTTCCTTCAATGTGTGTTTTGACCACTTTGTCCAAAAAAAAAAAAAAAAAAAAAAAAAAAAAAAATAGGTGGCTATAAGAATGTGGACACACATGTATGTGCCATTAATCCTAGTCCCTCTAGTCTCAAACAGTTCTACTCTCCAGTGACTAAGCATTCAAATGCATGAGCCTGTGGGGCCATGTTCATTCAAACCGCCACCCCTGGCCATCTGGTGAGAAATCTTACAAGCAACAATAGAAAGAGGCTCGGGTAGCCATGGCGTAGGGCACACAGAGTTAGTTTGGTGGCAAGGTGTCTTGGTGGTAACCCTGAAAAAGGGGAACAGAGGATTCTAGAGTGGCGGTTGCATAGGAATGAAATAAGCAAGATGAACAAGAAGTAAGTAAAAAGAGGTCAGAAAGAAAACACGGGGAACTTCATTTGACACCTCCCCCGCCCCTGCCCATCTTTAAAAAACAAATCTGGGCTAGCTCTGAGAAAAGAAAGCAAAGTGAAATACTTCTTCCACCCATGAGCAGCCTCAGAGTGTCCAAAGTGTCTTCCAAGTGCTCGACAATGCCGCAATGATTTTCACAGCAACACTGATGCATCAGTAGCTCTTGCCGCTGCTATTTTCTCTGACTGCACAGGACAAATGTAGAGTGATGGCGATCAGTGAGGAGGAAAGCAAGGAGACCAATGAGTCTGAATGCTGTAGAGCAGAAAAACGCCTCAATACACGTTCAGATTTCTGAACTAGCTTTTAGAAAACTGATTTTCTTTTTCCCAATCATCCATCCGCAGTGGAGGATGAAGATTTTCTTAAAGACCTTTTATGGAAAGGCCGTCACTCTCAAGGCTGAGCTCCTTGGCACTATAGAATATGGAAAGGCTAAGATTCCGGATGAGGAAGGGTTTCCCCCGTCACCAAAGGCTGGTCTTTGTTGGTAAGCAGCTGGAAGAGGGCTGTGTTTCCTCTGACTACACTCACAAAGGAACCCACCCTTCATGTTATGCCAGTATTTCCGGAATCTTACATTACTCCCAAGAAGAATACGCAGATGATAAAGAAGGGTAAACTACCCTGTAATACTGCAGAGTGGGTAACAATGACAACCTTAGTCACCTTCATCAAGAGTACCCTTTGAAGAATGCCAGGCTGTGAGTTTTATCGCCACCTATGTTCACAGATATTACTGCAAGTGTTCTCTGGATGGCTGCTCCAACAAAACCAGGAAGCAAGTGATAGTGTATGAGTTAATAAAAAGACAAGAGCCCGGGGGGGGGGGGGGTGGAATAAAGAAACTACTGTTTATTGAGTTTTGATGCAACATTAGAAGATTATCTAAAATTGTCACTGGTTTAGAAACTACGTATTTGTGTGACAACACATTAATCCTTAACTCAAAGGATATACAGGGACAGGACCACATGCCAAGCCAGATATGAGAATTAATGTATTTAAGCCAGATATTGGAGTAATTCACTAAAATGTAAAGCAATGATGCTCCTTTCATGGGTTGATTTTTTTTTCTTATATCAGAAAAGGCATATTAACTTGAATATGTGACATTTGTGTAAATATGGATGGTTCCTGGCATTAAAAATTAATATGCAAATATCTGAAGATGCTCTGTTTTAATATTTTATATGGTAAATGTAATAAAAACAAAAGTTCTTTAATAGTTTGAATGGCATAAAAGGACCCTGAGAGTGCAGTGTCAAAGCCCAGCCCTTGTCGTATTTCCTGAAGCGAGTGTGGCTTCCAGACTAACTATAACCCAGATGAGGTCCCTGTGAGGTAAGACTCTGGAAATGATTCTGTCTCAGCTACTTCAGGCTGGTTAAATATTACAATCCACAAACTTGTCCTTTGTTTTCTAACATTTTGGCCTGTGCTGAAAAAATAGATAGATAGATAGATAGATAGATAGATAGATAGATAGATAGATAGATAGATAGAGCTCCTCGTAGGTTCTGCCTCACAGCAGCCTGGTACTGGTTTGCCCTGTTCTAAGAGCAACACCCCCTGCCCAAAAGATGTGTTTTCTTCTCCTCGGCTCAGACAAAGCACGGTGAAAGAACCATCCGACTTCCCAAACAAGAGTCTGCTCCAAACAGAAGTCACATACAGTGAGTCAGAAGGAAAGAGACAGATAGTCATCTCCCTGAAACCTGGCAGGCTTCCCACCAGGGCCCTGGGAGCTGCCCAGCTGTGTGTCAGGGTTAGTGAGCAGCCACCTCAGGGCTTACTAAGCACAGAGAACCAAGGTGAGAAGAGTCTGCTCCCATCAGTGAGTAAAGCTGAAAGGTAACAGAACAGGAAGCAACCTGGGGCTATGCAGTTCAAAGGTGCTGAACTGATCGTATCAATCATAAGTTCTAGCATCTAGTGAATGTCACTTGGTACTGTTATGAGCCTAGCTGATCATCTAGTCTAGCCTACTGGCAAACATCCATGCCAGTGAGAGAGCGTCTCAACACGAAAAGCCATACAAACACACACAAACCTATACACACAGGCACATACACACAAAAGAAGAACTCAAGGTTTCCGCTCTCTAATACACCCACCATTTAATACACAGTAGTTATGTCTGCCCTGCCTGGAAGTGTCTTGCTTGTTCATGGACCCAGCTTAGGGGCCCACTCCCAAAAGGTTTTGAACGATGCGAGCAATAGCAAATAGACAGACGAGGGGTTCTTTAATTTACGAGATCTTTGGATTGCTTCACAGAAAGCAGTCCCTGGAATAATTCCAGTGTCAGCACTGGGCCGGAATCTGTGGCTGAGCCTTTGGAGGAACGTTGATGTAGGGACAATTAAAAGTGGATGTTCTATTTCTTGGATTTGGAAGTGAAAGGTTCACATAAAATACTGTCTGTCCAGAGTCAGAAAGACTGGGAAATGGCGATGGCTCAATCTAGAGGAAGAGCTGAGAGTCTTCAGGGGCTCCTCCCTCTTCTCTCCTGTCCTGAAATGAATCAGGGGAACTTAGTGCTCCAGCCCTCATCACCTCAAAATGAAGGATCCCCTCTCCTCCCCCAAGACACATCCCTCTGTGGTGCAAAAACAGTACCTCGGGGATAATCATAACTTGCGAGCAGCTCTTTCTGATGAGTTAGTGTCGAACCTGGTCATTCCGAGCTTATTTCTGTCCCTTTCTCCACCCACTCAGGAAAAGCAGAGAAGGGCACGCACCTAGCAGCATAGGAGCGGCGTTCAGGGCTCAGGGCTCTTGCTGAGAGCTATAGAAGGCTATGGCCTGATATAACTGCCCTGGGGTGTGGTGTGTGTGGGGGTCTGGCTAGGGATTTCCTGTGGACAAAATACAAAATGGAATGGGAGGGGCTGGCCCTGCACTCTTGGGTCGGATGTACTAGGACAGTCTGATACAGGGCAAGAAAGGACACCAGGCGGGTGGTCCCATCCACACTGCCTGAATCATGCGTGGGCTGAGTGGGCGTCGCGGGATCGTGGCTAGCCGTGGAGCCCCGGGCGGGCCGCTGCAGGGCTGGGCTCCGTGGGGGCGTGGCAGGGCAGATCCGGAGTTTGCCCAAGCTGGAGGGGCGGGCAGGGGCGGGTCCTAGCTCAGAAGCTGCGAGCAACTTTTCCTTTGCTCTCATCCAGACCGGGAGAGAAGTCCTGGGGGCAGCTTCTGGAAAGCCTCTAACTTCTGGGAGACCTCCACCAAGGCTACTGTGTGCACCGCACAGCACCTTAGATTTCCCAGAGCTGACCCACGATGGGGCCGGGACAGGCAGGGGGCGCGCTTCTGCCGCGGCTGCTAGCGCTCGCTCAAGGTAAGTCTGAGCTCCCGTGTGCGGCTGAGGCTGGGGAGATCGTAGTGGTCCTGGGGCTGGAGAGACAGCGACAGAGCCTTTGGGCATCCACATGGACTCGGGACCCCGGCAGACTGGAGCCGCTGGACCGACGGACGGACAGACAGACAGACAGACGGACGGACGGACAGACAGGGGCGCGCGCGCACACACACACACACACACACCTGTATCAAGACACGTTCCACCTGGTCCAGCCCCCTTCAAAGCCATCTTTGGAAGCTCTTTTGGTCTAGATGTTCTCTTACTCTCGGGTCTGGCGGTCCCCCAGATTCCTATTGACCCAGCAGGCAGGCGCTGAGCTAGCCCTGAATCAGGGACCCTGGATCTAACGCAGGGCTGCAGCTTGCAGCTCCCAAAGCGTGGCTTTGCAGGAAACCTTCATGAGCGTTTTCACCCCACAGTCTGGCACACTGCCCCCTATTCCTACTTCGGAAAGAAAAGAAGCACCCATGTCTCTTTTTACCGGAGGCAGGAAAGCCAAACGCATCTTAAATACTAGGCAAGGGGGCTTGGGGGAGTCTTCCTTCCCTCCAGACTTCCTCTTATTGTGGCAATGCTGTCCTTCAAAGAAAGAAAAGCTGAGGCCACTTCTATCTGCTTTCTTCATCTTAGACTGTGCAAAGGGATTCGCGGACACGGGAGCCGGCTGGGCTGCATGGCCTGACTTCCTTTGCCCTAAGTGAGGGAGGAGGGTGGGGAATCCAGCAGGGCTGCTGGGACACTCGGGAGAACTTTCTCTCCACCTTTATCCACACCCGCGCATGTACCTAAAATAATGGCTTTTAGGATAGTTGAGGGGAGAAGGACGCAATTGTCTCTGGACTTTAAACTGCTAACACTAGTTTTCAATTCTTTTTACAAAGGAAAAGCATTCTCTAAACTGTGCTTCTCTGAGGCTATCTTTCTCTAGGATAAGGAACACCAGTCCCAGATAGCCTTGTTCCGTTTCCTGTATGTCAGAGAGAAGAGATCCTATACCTCCACCCCAACGCCCTAGGAGACGCAGGGCGCTGTTAGATATGAGGGTGCTACCTGGTGAGCCATCCTTCACATATGGTCTGTCCTAGGGACACACATTGACTTGAGGGGTCATCAGCTCTTAGCTACGAGTTTAAGACAGCTGCACTGGATTCTGAGGGTCTGACCCGGACCTCTCCTAAGAGGAACTAAAAACACCCTTTAATTCATCTCCCTTTAATTGTTGGTATTATTCAGAGAGGGCCCAGAAGCTCATCATTTTCTAATCTTGAAATGTTGAGGCTTGTTCTGGGAGGGACCTTGAGAAGGGCTGTGGTGGAATGTGTTGCCGAAAGGCATGAAGTCAGGTACCGGGGTTTTCTTCAGCAGTTAGCTAACAAGGATGACTCAGTGTCAGCAAGCAGATGAGGTTTATATGACATCTTCTGAAAAAAAAAAAAAAAACTACTCCAGGTATTTATCCCCACCTTCTGATTTCATTACTTATAATCAAGGAAGACATTTTCTCTCCATTTCATTCACTTAATTAAATGGAATCACATAATACAACTTGCCATTTGAGAGGGCAGTTGAGATTCGTAGGCAGGTAGTGTGATTTTCAAGGCCTTGGGTATCTAAGGTTGACATTTAGTTGAAAGCTGTAGGCCAGCAGTACTTCACATTTTTATTTTGCCTTAGCTATATAAACATTTTCAACATTGATAGCACTAAACAGACACGTGGATTATTCTTTATAGATCATAGGCATGCGTAATTTTGATGCAAAGATATGCAAAAGTTAGAAATGTAAAGGCATGCATGAATGCGTGCTTCAGCCTCTTAGATTTTCCACAGCACACAGACAGACCATGTTAGAAGGAAGTTAGTTCATCCTGGATTTCATTGTAACGCTTACATTCAAATTTGTTTTCCATAACCCTTCTCACAAGTGGGTAAGAGGAACAAGTACTCTGTTTTGTTCCATATTTATCACTGTTCATTGTCCATGGGCAGTCAGGGTGGAAAAGAGCGATCACAAGACTCATAGATAATCTGTGAATAATCTGTAAGTTACGTACACATCCAGAGAGGAAATTATCTGTAACCTTAACATGAATGAATCCACACATTCTCCAGTGGGCTCAGGGGCCGAGGGACCCTTCATGTGGGTTACGGATCACACTGCTTCTTAACTCCCTTCTGAGCCGCCAGCCCTCTCTCCCTCTCTGGCACATTACTCTCCTTCACCTGTAAACGAGTCAATAGATTCTGCTCGTGGTAAACAGTCTTTCTTTTAGCTTTTTATTTCCTCATGAAATGCCCTGTGCTCTCTTTCTGTCCTCTCCTATCTTTAGCTTCACCTCACCTCCTTTGGGGGCTCATCTTCTACCTATTGCTAAACAGTATTTGCAGAGAGTTCTTCCCTTCATCTCCCTCTTCGTTCTATAGGCACCTCTGGGCCCAGCTCCTTCCCCAAGACAGGATCTCTAGCCTCTCTCGCCTCTTGAGTTCAAAACACCAAATGTCCACACCAGTGTGCCCAACGAAAAGGCCAGACTCAGTATTTCCTAAGCTGAATTCACTACCCATCTCCCAGGATCTCTCCTTTTACAGTTCCCGTGGCTTACAGGCGGTGTGGCATGCAAGCAGGAAGGGAACCTGTTTCTCATGTTTTCAACCTCATGCTCACAATCCAGATTCTTCCAGTTTTTCCTACCAATGGATGCAGCTTCTGCCGAGACCTACTTCCAGCCCTCATCTTCTTGTATCAAGGCATCTGTAACTTTGAAACGGGCTGTCCTGTTTTGTTTCTTGTCCCTTCAGTTTATCATCCTCATTGCCACCGGCAATGCTACCTTTTCTGGGTCCAGTAGTCTACATCCTTACTTCAAACACTTGCTGTTTCCCACCGCTTCTAATACAGGATTTCTTGACATTCATAAACATTCTCTACCATCTGGCTGCAGTTTCCCTATCTGACTGGTATTTTTTTTTTTTTTCTGTACTGCCCAATCCTACTCTTAAGTACATACAGGCATTCCACATATGTACCCAATATTCGCTTTTCAAACCTTATTAATATACCCAAAGGGGTCACAACCCACAGGTTGACACCCACAGGTGACTTCTGGGAAAATCAGACAATATGATTTTGTCAGATTCAGATGTAAGAGTCAGAGAAGCTTCAGCCATCTTGCAACAATGATGGCAGTTACTTGAAAGATGAAGCCAAATATACTGTGGGTAGCCTCACAGAAAGATAAAATCAGTGTCTGGCATTGTCCTTGAGTTTCTAAATCTTCAAAAGGAAATTCCTGTCAACTTCTTTTAAATTTTTTTTATATAATTTTAAACTTAGTTGTGCTTTATATAACTGAGAGTTGTTGTGTGTTTCCATGGCATAACAAATATATTTTCATATAAAGAGTGACATGGAACAAAATGTTGAGTTTAGAGAAAGAAATACCATTGTGACACTAAAAGTTCAAGCCTCCAGAAAAAGCCTTCATAGGAACAGAAGAAGTCATTAGCATTTAGATTCTCCATGGGGGACTAAGGGGTCATGGGGTCCAGGCCATCACTTTGGATGGAGGTAGCAGCATGGATAGCTGAGAGACAGCAAGAAGGAGGGCCTGAGCGTAACTCATAGGTCAGAGAGGAACCCGACACTATGGAAACAGATCACGAAGCAGAGAATACAAGCTCAGAGAAGGAAAAGGTGAGAGGTCAGGGGTCATCTGGCCTTCAGGCTGTTCAACTATGGCGGAGCCAGAGTCTTATCTAGAGCATGGGGGGGGTAGACTTTGAAGGTACCTGAACAAGAAAGTGATGTGCTCAGATTTGCTCACTGCCAGAGCACTCTAGTGACCAGAAGGAGGACAAGGGACAGAGGCCAGGTAGAAGATGCCACGCATGACCAGGAGAAAACCAGTTTTAGTATCAGTCCACCACACCAGGCGAGAGATGATGATTAAAAAGAAACCCCCAGAGAGCAGCAGTCAGGAAAGAGACGCTGGGATAGGATTTGGTGATGGACTTAACTCTGTCACAAGAAAAAAGACAGAGCAGATGCATATGGATTCATGATATGCAACACAATGTCCAGCCATGTATTGAGGTGAGCAGTGTTAAAAGAGGCAAGTTATAGGAAACAGGTGATCAAAGTGGAGAGGTCGAGCTAGAGACATCCAGGGGTACCCTCCAGTTAGCAGGCGCTGGGTGAGATAAGGAAAGAGACGGGAGGCATCAAGTCTGGAGACAACCGAAAACATTGTGTTGATGAGTCAGGCAAAGAAAGAAGGAGCGTTCGTTAGCCAGAACTTGGGCCCTACTTTAGAGGGTCATGTGAGCAACAAGCGGTATTGGGGTGAGAGAAAATGACAACTGGAAACTTAGCAAGAAGTCTGTAGAAAGTGAAGCACCACGGACGTTCTTGGAGAAGGCATTGTTGGTCAACAAGACAGCTTTGCAGAAGTTAGTGGGTGTGGCTGCTTGGATTGCCTCCATGGGGTGAGTAAGTAAAAGTGAGCAATAAGTGTAAGAGGTCACACAACAAGGAACCCTTGGCAGAGGGGAGAATCTAAACAAAGATGGAAGCATTTGCATGTGACTCATGATAGTTGGATCTCAGATTTTCTAATCATAATCCTTCATGATGCACATATAATCTTCCCTAAATTGGTTGAGGCATCTGTGGATATCAGTCAAGAGTGAGGGGGAACAGCTTTAGTGTGTATGGAAAGAATCTTAAAAGTGAGAAACGAGAGAGGAGAAACCTGGTATTGCTTTGTAATTTTATGTGTACGTGTTTTATATATATCTGTCCATGCACAATTATGTGTGTGCTTGCCCGTGCATGCATGTGTAGGAGCCAGATGTCCTCTGCAGTTGCTGTCTGTCTAATCTATCTATCTATTGAAACAAGGTCTCTGCTGAATCTGGAGCTTGCTGTTACATCTATACTGGCTAGCCAGCATCTTTCCTGGATCCAGGATCCACCT